CCTCCTTTCAGCTTACCATTTTTTATGGCACTTTCAATAATTTCTCCAGAAATCACAATGTCGGCAAAATTCTTTGTTGCATTCCCTATCATCTTTTCATAATAGGGAGGCTTCAAAGTACTGACAAATAACACTGTAGTTTCTTTCTCAGTCAAAGGAGGTTGTACTTGAGAAGCAATATCCCTCCACCTCTGGGCATACTCTTTAAAAGACTCATTTGACTTTTTCTCTAGATTTTGTAAAGATAAACGATCAGGAGCCAAATCGATAATGTGTCGATATTGGCTGATGAAGTCATGAGCCATATCGCTCCAGGAGCGAATGTGGGTTCTATCCAACTGAACATACCACCTAGCAGCAGAACCAGTAAGACTATCCTGGAAGACATGCATCAAGAGTTTTTCATCATGTGCATGAGCTGCCATCTTCTTGCAATACATGGTGATGTGGGTTTTAGGGCACTTTGTACCGTCATATTTTTTAAATTTCGATACTTTGAATTTATAGGGGATAACCACATCAGGAACTAGGCAGAGCCCAGCAGCATCAACTGACCCATAAAAGCTAAATCCTTCTACAGCCCGTAGCCTCTGCTCTAGCATGCTAATCTTAGAACTTTCCTCAGCCTCTACTCTCATCTTTTCCTTGTCCTTCTCTTTTAAATCATCTAGATCAGAAATTGGTTCTACTACTTTTTCAGTGAATACAGGATTTATATAGCTATTATACTGCCCGGGGTTGAAAGCTGATGACATTCCAGGATAGGCGAAATATTATGGTGGGACCTCTTGGGCAGACTGGGCTTGAGGTGGGCCAAAACCTGAAAAGTACAAAGGGTCAGCCACTTCTTGTTGGCTTGTACTTTCTTCAACTCTTTTTCCTTTATTCATATTATTGAGGGCCTCCAGAATCTTGCTTAGTTCACTTTCAATCTTCTCCTGAGCTTTTTCTAGCTTTTCAAATCTATGAGAACTTTTTTCTTCTATTTGCCTTGCTCTGGATCTTGTGTTGTATGGATGAGCAGGGTTTTCGCTAGATGGAGCTATCCTCGGACCTTGAGTACCATACTTATGATTAGAAATGTTATGTTGTGCCTTATGGATGATGCTTTGATACACAAATGAAATGTACATTTTTCTGAATGAAATCTAGTATGAAATGAATGTAAATGATTGTGTTGAAACAAGATCATGAAAAGAATACAAATGCATACAATCAGACAAACAACATAGTTAGTTTCGTGGATGAAACGTAAGTGATGTTGATGCATAATGTCACATATGATAAAAATAATACACAAAGTTAAACAATCAAAATGATTAGACAAACACTCTTTTGTGTCCTAATTTAAGGGTATATCTAGCATTGGGTAGAAAGGGCTCTATCTTAGGTGTAGGCACTCTTAAGGTTCACTATATGTGGTTTAAGGTCAAAGCCTAAAGGTTCTCAAATTGTTCCTTACATCTTTGTCCATCACAGACTAGTAAGGCACCTTAATCCTCACCCATTACAGGCTACAAGCGAAAAAGTTCAATTTGAGTGGAAGTATTTCACTAGCCACTGCGGAGGTATTAGACCTCACGAAAGCAATAGGTACTTTACTCCCTCCTAGAAGGACAGAGCTCGGGTATAGAGCTCATATTATGCACATGCATATGAATGACATAATTAACAAGGTAACTAAAACATGAATGAATAACAACACATATATACAACAAGGTTCAATTTCATTTGGCTTTTGGATAACACAAATTATTTGCTGGCCTGACTCTCAAGGTCCCCAGTGGAGTCGCCAAGCTGTCATAACGTCTAGATCTGGGGATCTATCGCTAGACATTGACTTTAGGGAGTCGCCACCAATCTTTTTTGTCTAGGTGCGATTGGCCACCTAAGGAATCTGTCCTTTCAGGGAACACCTAAGCTTAAGGGTCCCTAAAAGAATAGGTTCAGGTCTGCTAACCAGAACAGAGTTCGGGTGTTCGGTTACGTGTGAGGAAGGTTATAGCACCCTCACAACGCCCATCAAAAGATGGTACCAGCTTAAATTTGTATTATCCAAAAGCCTTAAAATTTTACCAAATAATTAATTATTGGAAATTATTCTCAATTGACTCTAATACTTTTAGCAGAAAATTGAAAAAATTCCCTCACCTCAGGAGTATGCAAGAAAAACTACTGTTTCACTTACAGAGGCTCCGTCGTCGGATTATTTAAAAGAAAAAAACAAAATCAAAATTAAGATAGAAAGGAAGGAAAGAATGATTTTTTTTTGTATGGAAAATTGATACTTTCAACTTTTTCCCAAAAATATTTTTTGAAAATTTCGATTTTCAAGGAAAATTGATACTTTCAACTTTTCCTCAAAAACCTTTTTTTTGAAAATTTATTTCTAAGGAGAATTGATACTTTCAACTTTTCCCCAAAAAATTTTTTTTTTTGAAATTTATTTTTCTTTTAAGGAAAATTGATACTTTCAACTTTTCCCTAAAAATATTTTTTTTTTGAAATTTATTTCTGAGAAAAATTGATACTTTCAACTTTTCCCCAAAAATATTTTTTGGAAATTTGTTTCTAAGGAAAATTGATACTTTCAACTTTTCCCTAAAAATATTTTTTTTTGAAATTTATTTCTGAAGAAAATTGATACTTTTAACTTTTTCACAATAATATTTTTTGGAAATTTATTTCTAAGGAAAATTGATACTTTCAACTTTTTCCTAAAAATATATTTTTTTGAAATTTTTTATTTTTATTTAAAGAAAATAAAATAATAAATAATAAATAAAAAAGAATATTACATAAACCTAATTTAATAAATAAACAAATAAAATAAACAAATAAACAAAGAAAAAAAAAAAAAAAACCTGGAGCGGCTCGAATCGCGGCTCGGCTCAAGGCAGGGAAACGGCTCGGGGGAGCGGCTTGGCGGCTTGGTTCGACTCGGCTCGGCTCGGAGGGGGCTGGCACGCGCTGGTCAGAAAGCGGGTCGACGCCCAGGTCGGGTCGGGTTCGGCAAAACGCGCGGATCCTCTGGGTTACTTAAGGCCAAAACGACGTCGTTTTAAGAGGGTGTAAAAGGTACTTCCCTCTGTTTTTCGACAGAACCCTTCTCCTCTCTCTCTCTCTTCTTCCTTTTTCCTCTCCCTTCTCTCTAAAGACTGAAGAACACCGGTGGAATTTCCGTCGGATTCTGAAAAAAGTCATCGGATTCTGGAAATTTCACCGGAAGTTGGTCGGAAGATCACCGGTTTTTGGGATTCTTCACCGGAAACTGGGTTGGTCGCCGGAAACTTCAAGGTTGGCCGAAATTTTCGTCGAAAAATTCAAACTTCGCCGGAATTTGCGCCGGAATCTAGAAATTTCCTAGAAATTTCCAGAAAAAATTTTCGCCAAAAAATTTCTAAAAAATTTTTCTCACTCCCAGAACACTCCTAAACTTTTCTTAGCTTCCTATACGCCCCCTTTTCTCTCAAATCAGTAGCTTTGCTTACTGTTTTCTGTGTTTCATTCTGTTCCAGGAGTCCCTTTTATAGGGATTGATCAGGAGTTTGATCAATCCCAATTCCTCCTTGGACGGGAATTCAATCTTTGAATCCACTGGACTCTTCTGATTGAATTCCCTCCAGTGGGATTCTTCAACTTTCAATCTAGCCCTCCAAAAAAAACAAAATAAAAAAAAACTAGATAATTAGAGAAGATAAATCAAAGATATTATAGGATAAAATAAAAAAAAAAAATATCAGATAATAATTAGATAAGTAAAAATACAAAAATGATAAAATAAAAAAGATAAATATATATAACATATATAATACATAAATATTAACAAAAAACAAATAAATAAATATATACATATATTAATACATAATAATAATAATAAATAATACAATACATAAAATACAAAAAAAAAAAAAAAAATACAAAATAAAATTAAATTGGACTTACTCATTTGGACCAGGCCCAATTGATCTGAGCCTGGACCCAATTGGGTGTCTACAAATAACATCAAACTGTGGAGAAAAACCTAGCTATCCATTTATCAAAACAAATGGATTACATTGACTTCACCTACAAATCACCATCAAGCATTAATTCCATCTTTTTCTAATTCACAACCAAATCATGATATCTAACACTTTTAGTAAATTTCATAAGTTTTGATGTTCAATGTATGTTTTTCTTTTTTTTTTAACCATTAAGGAATGCCTTTTCAGTTCACGAAACCCATTTGCATTAAACAAAGATATTGTTAAGGTGATTTACCCTTAAAAAGGAAAGAAAACTCTTCAAAGAATTATTGTAGGATACTTTCTATTACATTTGCCTAATTATAAGGTGCCTACAAGACCAAATTCCAAGTTGGATTAACATTTTTAAATATCAAATCTGTCCAAGCCCGAACAATTTTGATTGGCTTATTTAATAAAAAAATTATGTTCTTTATACCCAACTTCCTTTCTTCATACCTCATTATTATTAATATCCAATTTTTTACTCAACACATACTAAATCCAAAACATAATTTTGCCAAAAACCCAAACACCTCCTCTCCTCACACCCCAACTCTTCTCTCTTTCTAACCAAAAACCTAAAAAGTTTTATGTCCCAATCCAGCCACATTCAAAAAAATTTTACCCATTTGAAGTTAAAAGAAATAAAAAAAAAGATAAATAGTTTGTCCTTTCTATTTTGTTATTTGATTTCATGTTTAATTTTATAAGATTTCATGTTGAAATATTTGAATACAATTTGAAATTCTTAAAAATGAATATTTGAAAGTTTTTAAAGATTTTTTTAAATAAATGTTCAAACACTTATAAAGATTTTTTAAAGTCCAAGATTTTTGAAAACCTTTAAGAGCTTACGAAAATATATTTTTGAAATGGAGTGTGAAAGATTAAAAAGTAATTCACTAATGAATATTTAAGTAATTTCATTAAGAATTAAATTTTTAGAATATATTGAGAAGAAGTTTTTCAAGTAGCAACACTCTTTAATAAAAGAAATCTGATTAAATTGGATCAAGTTCACAGGCCAGGCTGCACATCTGGCCCATTGATAGGGCAAATCATAAGTCCAATTGTTTCAAAAATATAAACCTATAATGGACGTGAATAAAACTGAAGTCGTAATAAGTAAATAGGGAGACCTACCCGAAGTGGGTGGGATTCAGTCATCGATTAAAAGATGACATTAATCTGGTTTCTTATACCACTCACAAATAAGTAGAGAATGAGTCGTACGCAGCCACTTCAAGATGCCACTAAAACTAGGTAGCTCAAAGATTGGTTCAGGTGGTCTTGGGGGCAGAATCACCTGACTCAAAACATACTAGGAGATGAACACATAAAAGCAAAGATTGGGACAACTCAAAAGGGCTTGTAAGTATCATCAGAAAGATTCTATTAGCCCCATATGATTTATCACCATTCAACCAAGGCCACTTACCATTAGACCTTAGCACATTATGCCAAGTTTTATACAGGGCACAATGGCTACTCCAGTTGAGGGCATATTTGATCTCAGGTGCATCATCTGGGTGCACTAGTTTCCATAAAGAATCCCATTATGGTTCTTCCCTATTCCAAATGATCTATGGGTAGAGAATAGAATAAAAAGACCGATAAGAGTTACCAAGGCATTCAAAGTCGAATGGGAAATGCCTTCCCACCATGACTGACACAGATGCAGCGACTCTATATTTCAATCCTATACACTCAGAACAGTTTAATTCTACTTCTCACAACAATTATGATAATCAAAATATAAAGGTCTCATTTAGAAAATTTGGAAAGCCAAGATATCTATTAGCATCCATCAGCTCACAAGCTTTGAAAGGCATAGTCTCCATATCAAGATGACACAACAACATCATCCTTTCCATAGATACGCCGAAGTTCACGGCCGGCAGCTTGATATGATGCTAAGAAAAGGAAAGAATTTGAGTGAGAGAATTTACAAAATGGACCTTTCAGGTAAGCATCGGGTCAGTCAACTAAAACAACCTCATTACCTTTCCAGATGTGAAAGTTCTTTTGATTGATTTGAGACCCTGTCACATTTTGAATTACATCAAAAAGCATCTCCTGTGGAGTGTTCTTGAGCTCTTGAACAACTGCATAGATGGTCTTTCCATTCTCAAAGTAAATGTGATTGTTGGGGTGCTTGGTCTTGCAATTAGCATGGCGCTCAAACTCATATGCATTCAAAGCCTGCATAATAAATTTTGTACAATAAGGCAATGACACTCAGATTTAATAATCTTGTTCTCTTCTCATTACTCTGTAGCTGGGAAAAGAAGAAGGGAGAGGTTGAAATCTCACAAGGAGGCTCAAAAGCACTGTTACTATTTGAGTTGCTTACTTTTTCAAACTTGCACTCCTTGCAGCCACACATATACCCAGTCCCTTGTATATATCCTTTAAGGTTTTTCTGCCAAGAAAAAGGTTAACCTTCGATAAGTGAAATTTCATTGGTGAAAAGTTAAGCATAGGTAATAACTCACCTCCCGCGACCAGGAAACATACTTCACAGCAACCCCATCAAGCATACCAGTTGATAACAAACTTTTGACATTGGAAGGGAAATTGTTGGGAGAAACCTTATTAGCTGCCTTTGGTTCTTTATGCTTTCGACTGGTATCAATTCTAGAATTACTTTTAGGTGAACTATTTACATTTGAATCTGGATTTGACTCAACTAACTGTTGCTGGCTAGGCACTTCTGGAGCTTGTTCTGAATTCTGATTATTCATCAATAAGTCATAGCCACTAATAATACTGCCAGAGGGATTTGTCTCAGATTCATCATGGAAGACCCCAAAAGATATGGTATTGTTCTCACCCTTGTTGTAGTTTTGATGCATATATAAGACACAGGACTCTCGTTTGTCTTGTGTAGGAGCCATTGCTGTGATGTTATAATCTGCCTTATGATAGGATGGTTCCATTGGCATGACATTATCATCTTCCATATCAAAAGAGGGCGCCATTGAAATAAGATTCTCATTTGGTTTACCATATGCAGAGGCCATTGAAATGAAATTTTCCTGCCCCTTACCATAGGAAGGGCTCAATGAAATTAAATTGGCATCTCCCTTCTCATATGACTGACCGGTTGAAATAAAATTGCCATCCTCCTTGTCAAAGGGCTGACCCATTGACAAGATACTCTCATTTCCTTTGCTGTAATTGTGCCCCACTGATATGAAGTCGCCATCTCTCTTGTTAAAGGTGTGCCTCATTGAAATAAAATTGCCATCTGCCTTTGTAAATGTGGGGCCCATTGAGATGGTATTCTCATTCCCACTACCATATGTTGGGCCCAGCGATATAGCATTGTTACCACTTTTACTGTAAACAGTAGACATTGAAACTGTGCTAATAATTCCTCTACTATGTGGGTGTCCTATTGACACTGGCATGCCATTGTTGGAATCCTTAACTTGATTGACTTTAACTTTCCTTATTCCACCAAAACTAAGACTAGAAGAGGGATCTTCAATGGCATGAGACTTAGACAAACCCGCAGATGAACTATTACCATATTGATCCTCAAAATCCTTTCTTCCCATATTCATATTTCCACTGTCAACGGAAGAAATATTCCTATCAACCAAGTTGACAGTTCGCATGGGCTCAGATCGAAATAGACAGTCACTGAATTGGCCAGAAACTGACTGAAAACTGGAAGCAGTGTGCCAAGGAGAAACATTGATGTCTGCAATTCCTGAAACCGGTCGGCTGTTAACTGATTCTATTGCTTGCTTCTTGTTGCTGAAAAATTCTGGTGCAGCAGCATCCATGAACCACTGATGACCACGCTTTGGTTCAGATCTTGAAGAATTATTGTAACCCATCTCTCCATTAGTTAGAAACGCACCATCTCTTGGCGTCCAGATACTTTTTTGCTGGAAAGACTGCCCAAAATCAATAATACAAAGAATCAAAGTGGGAACATTTGTTATCGTATGACAACAAGAGTAACTGAAGAGTGAGAAATAAGAACCCTATCACATCACAAAAATCAAACCCAAAGAAATCATGTCATCAGAAAATTAAGAGAAAAATAAAGATAGGATGTATATCAAGCACAGAATTTTGCATGCTAAGATCAGTAAGAGATACAATATATCTCTGGAAAACTGGATAAATGATAGATTCATCTGAGGGTTTTTAAAATCAGTCGTATGAATTAGCTGCTAAATAAACATAGGAATTCCAAGAAAACAAATACTCAAGGTTAAAACCAAAATTTTCATTTTTATACTTACATGAACCAAATTGAATTCCAATCAATGTGCTAGTCTAAGCAGGAATAATAAATTTTCCAGTTTCTTTCAGATCCTAATGAAACTCAGAAAAGAAACCCTTGGAAACATTCCCACTCTTAGATGTTAACAATATTACTCACTTAGATAGCTCATTGTCCAGGACTGCTTATAATGAGATTAATTATAAACAAATTAGCTTATCAGGGATGTTTCTAGAAATCTAGAGACATATCATGGCATTTAAAATCTTCAAAGAGTTACATAAATGATACATGCATGAAAATGAAGGGAGAAATTTTTTGCACGAAGCAGCCAATGAACTTGCCTTTCACAGCTACAGCCTATTCAACTTCTTAAGGTTCTAAAACTTCCCTTTTATTTCTCGCTATATGGACCAAATGTTGCCTGATATGAGCAATTTTTTAAAAGCTGATAATAATCAGACCACGAGATACATTTAGAGTAAGTGTCAACACAATCTGGACCAAAAATTAAATTTTTACGGCATTAAAGTTGCAACAAGCCTAACCAAAATTCTCTTAAGATAAATATAAAGAGGCTAACTATACATTAATTCCATTGGTAAATTTATTGATATAAAGACAACTTTAGATTCATATAGGTTCTTGCAGGATCAAGTTTTCATCAGAGTATTTGGATCATGTGTATGACATCCAAATGAGTAGGATAAAATAATACTAATAAAAATTCTGTAGTAATGGAAAACTAAATAGTACAAATAAACTACCTTACAAGATAGAAACTCATTACATAATCCTGCAACATTCAAATAGTTACTTCTTTTTGCTTTTTCTTTTTATCTTAACATGTAATCTAAATAAGGCAGTAAAGGGATACAAGGAAAGTTCAAGAATAATCCGTATCAGACTAGTAGCCCAAATAGAAGCAGCTTGGAGTTATCAACCAAACAAATTTTTGTTCTTTCATGGCTAGAAGCTTGTGCATATTGATGAAGACGAAATAATGAAAAGTATTTACCAAAAGAATGATACGTGTTAATACCATAATGGTTTTACTTCTACAGATTATGAATATATATACCACATCATAGAATTGAAATGAGAACCATCTGAAGTTTTGAAAAGCATGTGCAAACCTACAAAATGTCGATGTGTTTATATAAGTTATTGTATCTATACATTTTTCTGATGATCAATAAAATGGTAAAAGAAAAAGATCATTTTTGTTGTTTGGTCAAGGAAGAAAAAATTTTTATTTATACATTTTCCTGACATTTTAATGAGATGTATGGATCTGTACCCTACTTTTAAACTCTTTTAGGCCAAGTTTACAAGTCCAAAACTTTAAGCAAAAGGCAAGTAAACCATTTAGAAATACCCATTTAGGAAAACCATACTAGGGTCCATGCATTATTGTTAGTTAATGTATGGTTTCCATGGAGTCAAAAGAAAATCCAAGTTCTTTCCACCTCAAAATTTGAAGAACGAGTGAGCTAAAAAATTCAGTTGACATAACAAAGGAATTAATCATTTAGAAGGATCTCCTTTCTTTGTTTATTAGAGTACTTTTTTTGCTTTAAATCATTATAAATTAGATCTTGTTCTCATCAATATGAATTAGATAATGTTAAAGTCTATGGTAACCACAAAAATCTTTTACATGAAAAATTCTCAAAAGGAAATGTGTCTTTTCTGTTTTAGAATGATATTACCCACCTTAAACGGCCAATTGACTCTCACACCATTATTTAATGCATATCAAAAGGGAAATATACAGAAAAAAACCAACAGCTGGTAAATAAAAGCAGTTTCGATCAGCATATCAATCACGTGTCTAAAATTGCTAGTCAAAAAGTTCCAAAATTGTTTAACCTAATATATATCACCATGTCTACATATCCAAGGCCTGTAACCATCAGCACTGCTTTCATTAAGAATTCAAATTTCTCATGTTTCAACATGATGAAACCTAACATAAAATCACCAAATACATATATCTAAGGCACATGATCATCTTGTTTAGTCGTTTACTTTCATTAAGATATTTAAATTCCTTGAACTTCTGACATCAATGAACTTAGCATAAATCACCATATTTGTATATCCAAGTCATGTAGTCATTGCAATTACTTTTATTAAGAACTTTAAATTCCTTAATTCCGACATAATGGAACCTCACATAATTCACCTCATCTTCATATCTAAGGCACATAATCATCATGATTACTTTAATTTACACTTTTAAGCTTAGGAAACTAACATAAATCAGCAATATTAGTATGGCTATGTTTATTAGGACATTTGAATTCCTCAAAGCTACTAAGTAACAGAACCTTACATTAATCATCATATCTGCATCTCTAAGACATGTTATCAGCACCGAATACCTTCCTCAAGGCATTTAAATTCCTTATAGCTCCGAAATAATGGAATCTAACATTAATCATCATAACATCATACCTAAGGCATGTGATAATCATGATAAATATTACTCATACATTCAAATTCTTCAAAGTTCCAACACAATGGAACCAAATATAAATCACCATAATTGTATATCTAAGGCAAGAGATCATCATGATTATTGTTATTAAAACATTTAAATTCCTCAAAGCTCCAATATAATGGAACCTGACATAAATCACCATATATGTATATCTAAAGCACATAATCGTATTGATTACATTTATTTATACATTTAAATATTTCATACCAAACCTTTAACTGTAAATCCAAAAATACCATTTAACTAACAATATTCGACCTAGTGAGGCAAAATTATAAATATTCCATATAAACACTTTAATTGATTCAAACAAAAATAAAATCAAACAATCAGTACCGATCCAAGTACACCAAACAAACAATGAAATATTCAAACAAACACTCATAACAAATGACCAAAAAAAAAAAAAAAGAGGAAAAAGAAATTCAAAATCATTAACAAGAAAGAGCCAAAACTTAAACAAAACATTTGCATGCAATGAAAAGAGCTTCAGTATGTGTTGCGATCATACCATATCTCGCCAACCTTTCAACTTAATGAGCCAGTGAGTCACTCACTTGCGATTAAACTCGCCTTCACTCAATCAAAAAACAAGCTTTTTCACCCTCCAAAACCCCTTAAGAAGATCAAAGGACAAATTAACCAATTAATCAAATAAATCGAATTTTAATCACAAATTTTACATGCATTTATCGAAAAATTAAACATTTTTTATTTAAAAAAAAAAAACTTCAGCAGATTTTCTTCGTTTTTCTCTGTATTTTACATGGGAGAATTTAAACAGGCTTTTCCAAGCAATGGTGCCAACAAAAACCCTAGAAAGTAAAATAAATGAGAGGTATAAAGTTAATACCTTTTCCGGAATGATGGCCCGTTAGACTTCCCGGCTAGCACTCGCCCGCGAAATTCAACCAAAAAAAATTTTTTTCTTTAATTCTTTGAAGTGAAAGTAGTTGTACTAGATACACTAGAAAAGCAACTCAGCTTTCGAACCTTTAAATAGGAAGGAGAAAATGTGTAAGCTGCACAGTCGTAGTATTTTCCATTTTTGGACTTCTTAATCCATAGCGTACACGTGGCGCTAATAGTGATAGAGGGTCCCATTTGAGAATGAGGTGTATCTTGACCGTTAAATTTGGTTACCAAAGTTAAGTTGGCTTTGTATGGAAACCTATTGAAGTTCTGAAAAGGCTAATTCTATACAAAGACAATTTTTCACGTGGCAGCTTTTGATAGGTCTGCATGTGGTGCTGTTTTTGGAGGGGGAAATTATCTGTGGTGTGAGAATAGGGAAAGATGGTGTGGATATGTACACGTGTACCAATTTCATTTCATGTCATCCAATTTCTTAATTTTTGTTGATGCGTCGAACTCCTTTTATTTATTTATTTTTTTTAGAAAGCCATGGGGAAGACAAGAGTTGGTAGACTCTGTGGGTGGGCAAGTAGCAAATTCACTAGAATTCATACCGGGTTTTGCCCGCCTCCTGGCCTCTTCATCTATATATATATATTTTTTCATCCATCTACTTTTTTATCTTTCATCATCTTAACGTTTAATTTTGAAAAAATCAAATAATATTATATTAGAATTTTTTTTCAAATGTATATATATGTATATGAAAGAAATATTATTAAAAATAATTTATAAAGTTATAAATTTATTAATTCATAAGCAAATATGTTAACAAAAACAATACATGAAATAAATATGAAATTGTGAATGATTTAAAACATAAAAACCATTTGTTAAATTAATTTAAAATAAGACACAAATATATAAATTAATATTTTATACGACATATATTCATGAATTATCATATTTTAATAGCTCAAGAAAATTTTCTATAAAACTTATTTTATTAATCTTTCTCTAGCTTATATCACTCGAAATTTAGAATATTTTTATTTGAATATCATTAGATGGTTTAACTAAATCATTTGAGGATAAACCATTCCCATCGGGATCAAAATTTTCTAAATTCATTAATTCCATTAACAAACACCTAATGTTATTTGGCGATTATAAAATTTTTACGAGCCAAGGCCTCCTCCTCAAGCATGTGTTAGGATCCCCTTCTGTCCTTCAAATCTTTCTTTAACTTTTTTTACTTTGATTCTTTCAATTTTATTTCGTTTTCATTTTTCATATCTCAACTCATTCAACCATCATTTATTTCAAAATATCAAAAATATCCTCAATAACTCACAAACTATTTTTTTTTCCTTTCCCCTATACACTTAGCGTTCATGCAAGTGATTATATGAACAGTTTTTCGTCGAGAATTTTACATGGATATTAGGGGTTAAATTTGTTTTTTTTTTTTGTCTGTAAATTTTCATAATTATTTTTAATAAACAAAAAAAAATTCATTTCTTGTCTTGAAACGGACACTTGTCAGTATTTTCTTGGTTAAAAAATTATCTAGATTTTCTAAAATTTCATAATTATCCTTAATGAACAAAAAAATTTCTTTACTGTCTTGAAAAAGACACGTATTTTGCTGATATTATGTTGTATATAGATGTTAGATAGTGCTATCTATCTTTAAGTAAATTGTTTTTCATACTTTCATAAATACTTGGGACAATTTGCCAAATGGGATCTCAGAAGATTGGAATTTTTTTTTAACCTTATTTGTGCTAATATTTGCTATACGATATAATTCAAGAGAAAATTTTTTTCAATCATGATTTCATTTTTATGAGGAATGTTTTGAGAATAAAATTCTAAATACATCATATTAATGTGAAAAAATACATCTTTAAAATCATCTAATAAAAAGATTAAGGTCTAAAATCTGAAAAATCCTTAATTTTATTGCCAAAATTATATACTATCCATTCATAAATATTTAATCAAGCATGAAACATTACAAACTGTTTTGAATTTTAAATCTTAAGGTTTACAATTAAAATGGTTTGACTCATATCATTCATATGTACAGGAGATGAGCATAGAAGAGTCCCCCCCCCCCCCCCAAAAAAAAAAAAATTGAAAACCTATAAGTTGGGTATATATTTAGATTAAATAAATTGAAAACTCTTAAATTTCTTGTCTTTATATGGTAATTTTTAAAAAACTTTGTATTTTATCAAGTTAATTCTTTAATTTTTGTTAGAGTGCTCTATAAATTAACTTGTTTTAACCAGTTATGAACAAAAAAATTTTAAGATTTTTTGACACTCGCCCAACGTTTTATCACGAAAGTTGGATTAGTACCACTAAACAAAAGATTGAAAAAACAACATAATATGTAATTTTAAAGTTTCAATTTCATTGAACTTAAAATTTAATCTAAATGGTTCACCCACTTTTCATAAAAAGTAAATTATCCGGTGCTTGCAATTGCCCCTTCCTTATCCCTTAGGTTTTGGTTCTCTTGTAATAATAATAAAAAAAAAATTCAGTTTCATTCTTTTAAAGATATATTTTATTTTTTGGTTTTGATTAAAAATATATTAATTAACTTTAGAAATTGATTTATTTATATAAATTTTTAGTTTTATCTATGTATTTTTAATTATTTATTTCTGTAATTTAACTTTAACAATTGACTTATATATATTTTGAGTTTTTTACATTTTTATTTATAAGTTGATAAAAGTTACATTATATGAGCTTATTATTTTTTATAAATATATTGCTTGCATAAATATGATGAAACACCTCCTCATGCTGAACTTAATGTTCTTCTTTAATGACAATGATTTGAATGGGTTTGTAATGATTTATGAATGAAAATGAAACGTTCATGGAAGGCAACAAAATTCTATGAAATCCTTTTGGATTTGGATATAAATGCTGCTTTTATGATGATTTAAATCAGTTAGTTGGCCACTTTAAACCCAATTAATGTGAGACCAAAATGCTATGGGTGCAATTAGAACCCCATTATTTTTGACAGATCATGTTCCTCTCTATAAAAGTTCTGTCATTTATTTCAATTGAATGTAATGATTGGCAAAACATTTAATCACCTAGCAATTTAAAATTCAAGCACATAACTTTGAAGAGGCTTAAATAAAAGCATTAAATTTTAGGAAGAAATTTTTCCACATTTGAGTTTAGTATACTGGATTGGATATTGTTTCTTAAATTCAAAGAATGCTAGGTTGTTCCCTTATCAGTTTCCTAAGTATACATGAAGTTAATGCTGAGTTACAAGTGTTTTAAATACCCAAAAAGAGAAATATATATATATATATATATATATCAATGTTGAAAATAGGATTCCAATCTTACAAGCCAGCTAGTATCATGTTTTAGGTGCTCTTAGAATAAAATGCAAGGATCAAATTATGAAATCAGTCCATGTATAATAATATTTTTTTTTTTAAAGAAAACACATTCTAATTAGCCCATGTATAAATAATGATTTGAACAAATATAAGTCATGTACTATTCAAAATTTGAAATTTCAATCCAAAATATGACATTTAGAACTTCACTTTTCATACTAAATTTCTCGTTTGTTTTTCGTTCTCTTTCCTTTTTTTTTTTTTTTTTTTGTAATTTTGCTTTTGATCTTTCGCTTCCAGCTCATGACTCATGAGAACCATTATTTAGCCAATATCTTGGAGAATTTGCCAGGGTCTCAACCTTTTCATCAAGCATTGATTCCAAAATCGATGCCTATAAAATAAAAAATTATACTTACTACTACTAATGTATTTTGATAACATTACATATTATTGTATTGATGGCGATAGATGACATTGCATTTTACGTGCTTCAAACTTTTAAATAAGTATTTTAATAACTTTTTTTAAGAAAATATTTAAATAACTTTTTTTGTTAGCATTTTTGTTACTGACATTTTCATTAATTTGTCTCACTCTTTTCAGTCTCGTATTAATTTAATTGTTAAAATGCTATTAATTAAAAAAATAATCTTGTACATTTTACATCAATTCTACCTTTATTGAAAACTCTAATCATGATTAATTTTTATGTTTACCTAACATTTACAAAAATATATAGATATATAAATTTTAATATTAAATTTATATTAAATAATTTTATTCAATTTAAACTAATATTTAAATATTGCAACAATGTCGTTTCTAAATTTTAAATAAATGTACATTTACATAAAAATTTTTCTTAAAAATTAAATAAAATTAAATAATATATTGATTGCATGAGGAGAAGTCAAATATAGATGTAAGAAATATGATGTATATAGAAGTGGGGGTTGGGCAAAGAATTTCTGGAGGAAAAGGTAGTGACAGGTTGAGGCATTTCCTGCCCAACCACCGCTTTGTTGCCATCCTTCTTCTAAACTTCAATGGCTTTCCAGGAAATCACAAGTACAAATTCTCAAGAGTGTTGATCATTATTTTCCACCAATACCTCATTTCTTACCCCTAGAGTGAAGGACTTGAGCAAAGAACTTGCATAAGAATAAAAAAGAATAAAACAAAAACAAAACCAATCATATAAATTTTTTTTTATAATTCCAATCATGATAAGTAAATGATTTTGTGCATATAAATTCATGATAAGACAGAATAACATGACAATTTGTTTTTATTTTTTAAATTGACAAATAAAAGAAAGTTAGTTATAGCTAGTTAAAAAGCATGAAATACTTTCAAAATAGAAACCATAATTTTTTTTATTGATATTTTTTTAATTTCTTCACTTCCTTTTATCATTTGAATGTAACAAGAAAAGCTTGCTATCCTAAATAGAATGTAATTTTTTTTATACATTTATATTGAGATTTACGAGTTTCGATTTGTATATATAAAAATATATACATTCTTCTTCATTTCATAAATTTTATATTTTCCATCACATTATTCGAAATTTACACCTTCAAACAATCACTTTAAATTCAAATTTTTAGGTGTCATTTTGGAGAATAATCATTGAAATGGTATTTTAAACATAATGTTTTTTCAAGATAAATGTCTTTAACAAGTTGTCATCCTTTTAGAATGGAGAAGAGTGCAATTTATTAGGAATAAAAATGATTTTGTAAACCTGAAGATCTTCTATTCTTAACGTGGAAGAAGACAATCCGCCAAAACAAGAAGCCCAAAAGGCTGGCAGTCCACAGCTGATTCCACAAAAGAAATGTCAAATCCTGGAAATTAAGAGGCCCAATCTAAAGCCGGTTTCCTGGAGATAATAATATTTGTACTCCAAAATCCTTTATATATATATTTTTGTTATATCATGTGGACAAAATCTTAATACAAGTAAGGAAAAGGGAGAGGTTTGGTTCAAAATTAGACCCTTTATGTTCCCTCAAACTCTTTTTTAACCACTAAACTAAAGGTTCGGGGATATTATATATCAAAGCATAACTTATTTGTATTAAGCAAGATAATTAAATTTTAAGGAATTTGGATTGCCCTTTTTGAGAATGCTTGTATATATATTTTTTTGGAAACATAAATTTAAAAGAATGAATATGAATTAAATTTGCTATTCAAACAATGGGATGAATGTAAATATTAAATAGAAACTAGTAAAGATTCAACTTATTTATATATTTGTTAATTTTTAACCTTGACATTTTGTTTGTAAGGGAGAAAGAGAGACAAAGAAAATGATAAAGGAGGGTTTTTTTCTTTTCTTTTTCCTTTTGTTGGTTGGAAAAAAAAACATAGAGGAAATTTTCCATTGAATTAAAAAAGTTTAATCTTAATTTGTTTCCTTACATTTCATTATATTTATTTGTTGTTTTGGATTGAGTATTTAATGTGATATATTATTGAGAGTGACTCACTTTCCATGCATGACGCATGTTTTTCATTTTGGTATATAGTTTCTATCCATTGTTTTAAAACCAAAATAGATGGAAATGAATGGTACTTCTGTATCTTCATTTTCCTTTTGGTTTCCCTTGAGCACTATTTTTTTTTCCCAAATTTTCTAATATAATTTGCCTAACTTCAACTTAGAAACTAAAAATTCCATAGTTTTTATATGTTGGCAAAAGTAAAACTATGAACTAAATACCCATAGAAAGGTTTTTGCTTAACTCTCAAGTTATTCTCTTAATTTGTAAGTAAAACAATTTATTATTCTCATCTACTTTTTACATTTGTATTGATTAAATTTATATTTTAAGATTTGATTTGAGACCATACTATAGTTAAAAGTTAAAAAGTATTAATTGCCACTATATATAAATAAAGTGAACTATAAATTAATATTTTGTCCATCCCAAGAGTTTTTTCTTTTAAATGCAAAATTAATTAGAGTTAAGTATGGCAATTTGAAAAAGGCATAATTCAAATCTTTTTTTTTTCAATGGAAGTGGGAAACTATATATAGAAACATAGTTAACTTAATGTCTCCTCCTAATTTATTTAGTTAACTAAATTTCTTTTGGATTATATTTATATAAAGAGAAGGAGAAGTTCATTGAAGAAGAAAATTCATTTTGAATTAAAAATGAAGCTAGTAAGAAACATGTGCTTCTCCATTTTACTAGCTATGGTGTAATTAATCTACACTATATTAAAGTCTTCACAAAAATGCCAATATTGGCTTTTAATTATAGAAAAAAAAAAAAAAAACAGTAGATCAACCCCTAGCTAGTTTAATCTTTATAGCAAATGTAACTCTTCATAAAATAAAAAAAATTCAACATTAATAATATACTTTTAATACTTCTCATTTTTTGTACCCCTATTAATTGATTTTAGCTCATTAATAAGCAAAAAAAAAAAAAGAACTGAACAAGCTTAATTTTAATCTTGTAGTAATTAGTTAATTCATGTGAAATATATTTATCATAAAATTGTTATGAAGCATCATACTTACATAATGTTGATATTGTAGTAAATCACCAAAATTTTATAATAAGAAAAAATATTGATTTAAAAAGAAACTGAAATATAGTGATGTATATTTATTATATTTTTATCTGTAAATTAATGAACAAATATCAAATAGTAATAGAATAACCCCCCTCTGTCTCAAAAAAAAAAAAAAAAACTATATAGCTAGGATCAGACAGAAGAGTTTACAAATAACAATCTATTGTTGGAGTTGCCTTGCCAAGCTTGAGCAGTTCCAAATCATTCTCCAAAGGAGTCAAGTTCAAATCTAAGCACAAAATCCTTCTGCTATGAGATTTCTTCACAATCGGTGCCATCACTGGCTCGTTAGACAAACTCAAAGCACCATGCTGGTTTTCACTCAAACCAGCCCTATGCCTCCTCATATGTCCCCCCAACGCTTGCCCGATCGCGAATTCGACTCCACAAATCGAACACTCATGCGTCTTAGGTTTAGCCGGTGGTTGATTCTCCGTTTCGCCATCTACTTCCGTCTGCTTAGGCTTCTTATGGCTCGCTCGATGACCTCCTAGAGCCTGAAACGAAGGGAACTGCCGATTACATGTTTTGCACTCGAAAACCCGGCTTGGGATGCTATTGTTCATGGCATCTTCATATTTATTGCCTCCTTGTGAGAGTTGCATCAAACAATTTGCCAAGGCTAAATTATTCTCAACCTCTCTATTCGGAAAACTTCTCTTCATGTTTTTTTTTTTTTTTTTTGGTGTGAAAATATTTGGGTATTTGATTTCTTTTCAGAAGGAAAGCAAGTGAAATGAGATTTTAAAAGGGTAACGTGAGGTTTGGTATATTTATAGGTTGGTTTGGGGAGAGTTAGAAGTTTGACTTTTATATATAGTTTACCTTTTGGAATGACGTTTGTGCCCTTGCTTGCTTGTTTCATAAGGCAATCAAGTGGGGGGAATTTGGGAAATAAAAGAAATTTTCTGCCGTGTGGAGTGTTTGAGTGTGAAATCAGCTAGACTCGTTTACACGTCAGCATGACCGAGTGGCTGAGCCAAGCCTCATGAGTTGAAGCGACTTGGAGTCTTTCTTACAAGTTAGAATCTTCAAGTCTAACTTTCTCAGCAAAATTTTGTGACTGCTCACACCCAATGACGTATTTCCACGTTTACCTCATAGTTTGTTCAGTGTTTGGTGGCTGTTAGTGGTTTGTTGTAAAATTTTACTTACAGTAGGTTCATTTTCATGTGAACGTAAGCAGAGGAAGTTAAGGGTAGAGTTGCGTTGGTGACGAAAAATGTGCTGGAATAACCTTTTTTTTTTTTTTTAATGTACTTCTTGTCTTAGGTCTTTGGTACAATGCATATATATATATATATATGGAAGCTTACCATATATGCCAAAAGGTCTTTTAGTTGTAAATTGAGTACATAAACTACATATGAATATTTATATTAAGGAATGACGATTCAAATTCATCTATTTTAGAAACAAAAATTGTACTAATTGTTGAATCAAATACTTGGATGCACATAAATTACATATTACATATTTTTATAGATTATAAATTTTTTAAATAGTATTCTTTCTTATATCATAAACGATGTAATAAGCATTTAAATTTAAGAACAAGCTTCTTATTCAAATTTTTTTTTAATTAAAGATGAAAAGGATTTGGATCATACTTTTTGAGTAAGATATATATATATATGTATTTATTAATGAATTAAAATTTTAAAATATTTAGGTCATGTTTGATACACAAGTTATAATAAAATAAAACAAGATAATATTATAAATAATATTAGATTAAATAATATTATCTTATTTTGTGTTTAATATATACAAAAATTATGATAGAATAATTTATTTATTTGTCTAAATTATCTTTCCTCAATATTTATACAATGTAAATTATTAATATAATTTTTAAAGGCATACTTGGATATGTAAGTTTAATCTCATAAATTAAAAATAATTCTCTCAACTTAAGAAAGATCAAATAATCTTATGCTAAGAAGATATTAATACTTCTTACAATATTTATTTTTCTTTTTAGATACAAATCAAATATGATATATGATGATTATTATCATATCTTATCAATAATCTTATATATCAAATATGACTTTAAATGTTTTATATTTTAAGTATTTAAGTTAAAGAGAAATTTCATTTCAAGATAAGATTAGAGTTTATGTATAATTTTTCACTAGCTTCATAGAGTCAAAATAGTTAAAACGTAAATAGTGAAATTATCCAATATGTAAAGTGGTTTCCTTACAAAATCTAAACAATACAACTTGTCAAATTCATCAACTTCCTTCTCTATTCTTTCGTCATTGCTTATTAGACCTTTCACTAACAAAATGGAAAAACCAATTAATTCAATTTAACAAGAATCTTCCTCTCTTTTGCCGAAAATTGTCGTCTCAAAAAATCTACCATCTTTGCTTTTACTATTAGCGACGACGTCATCTCGAATTCGTGGGCTTTACTCTAAATACCCGCATTACTTTTGAGCTTAAAAGTACTACTTCCGACGTGTCAAAAACTCCAAGGGCAAATCTTTTTACTGACCGTATCCTAAAGACAAAAGTTTTTCTTTGTTGGATATTGTTGAGTTTTTACCTTTAAGCTCATGCAGACTGGTTTTTTTTTTTTTTCTAATAAAAAGGCCCTTAATTTTTTAATTTTAATTCTTAATTTAAGTTTGTTTAATTACTGACTTTTGTTAGAAGGTGCTTTGTAGGAAGAAAAAATGGTTTACATTGCATCTCTAAAAAATTAGGTGGATAATCCATTTTCAAAGTTGGTATGCATCACTTAAAAATAATTTTTTTTTTGGAGGGATGACAAAAACCAATTGAGATTATTTTTGGAATCATATTACTTAATCACATATTTTATTATAATACTTGTCCATATTTTCTTTGTAGAAATAAATGAGGAAAGACAGCAATTCCTTATCAAATTGATTTATATTTAGTAGATTTGTAATTCAAATTTTACTACCTATAATTTTTTTTTTATTTTAGATTACGATGTATCCAAAAAATTTATATTTATAACTATGTTAACATGTAAAAGAGTAATTTTTTATTCTCGTAGATCCCTAATTTATGTGCAAGAATGCTTTTTTATCTGGTAAAGTATTTGACTTCTTGTACTAGTGAGTATTTACCATATTAAAACAATTGAAAATTCTATTTTATTTTTCCCCTTCAAAGTCTTAATTCTAGAAGAAAATTGAGAGGTTTTAATTTCCAAATTGCAGTGCCGTGAAGTTCAATATACGGTTTAATCTTTAATTCTTATCCAATATGGTCGCTCTAACTTCCAAGTCTATGTTTACTTAGGCCTCATTGTCTTCAAATTGAACTGCAAAAATTATAGAAATTTTCCTTGTTTCAAGCAATCGAATAAAATAAATTTAGAAAGTAAAGTAAAATTATTGCTCTTGATGATATGAATAGTTCTTGAATAACGAATGTATACAATGTGTACATACAAAAATCAATTGGAAAAATAAATAATATTACTTATCTCTACCAACGCATATCAGTTTTAGAATTAAATAATATTCTGCTTTTTCTTTGAAGAATTAGAAAATGACTCTCATTGGCATGCAACTAAAGGGTGGCAAAATTTAACGGTTTTTGCTAAGCTTACTTTTGCTCATAAGATAAGTATTTTTTTTTAATTTGTTTTAATCATAATCAAATATTATATCCATATAATAAACTATTATATTATAATCAAATTATAATCATTAAATAATCAACTAATAAATTATAATATAATTAAACAATCTAATTCACACATACTAAGACTTAAACTTAAGATCTCAAAGAATTAATTGTTGACTTTTCTTGTGAAGTTATTGTAAAATGATATACATAATGTATGTGTTGGGTGATGCAATTATATCTAGATAATTCTTCAACATATTGTTACTAAAGAAAAATGATAGGTAGAATGTTGATTAAATCTTTTTTTTTTTTTTTTTGTATTTTACTCAATGATAAGGACATATATATCTCTCAACTCGAAAAGCTAGATTCGAATTAATTCCCTTGCCTTCAGAATAATAAAAGAAACTATAATTTTTCTTTTCTTTATTTAATTAGGAGTGCCAGTTTTCTTTAGAAGTGGTAGATGAAAACTAAATATATATATATATATATATATATATATATATAACTAATAGTGATTTGAAGACATCATTTTCTCTTAATTTTGTTTGTAGGATTAATATTTATATTAGCTTTTCTTTATGCCAACTTTCTTTCCCTAAGCGTGCTGGCGATGTCATATCCATATGTAATCTTTTAATTTAGTTATTCTTTTTACTTGGAATTAATCCATAATCTTGGAATCAATTCCATAAAAATGAATGTAGCCATCTTGCATCATATAGCAATGATGCCATTTCCCACTCTAATTCTACCTAAATTTGGAACTTTTGCCCACCTATTTCTTTACTGGTTAAATTCAAAAAGTTAAATATATTTTAGAAATTAAACAATTTCTTACTAGAAGCAAAATTTAATGACAACAACCATATATCTTTGTTTTAAAAAATTAGAATAAGTTAATATATCTAATTGTGACAACTTAATTAATTGGTAAGTCGTTCACCTAAATAGTAAAAATCCTTCTTATGAGTAATTTTTCGTTGACATTAATCTTGAATGTTAGAGTGTAAGATACATTAGAATTCAATAACCTATCTATCTATGATTTTATGTAAAAATTTATAAAATAGTAATAGTTTAATTATCAGAATGTGTTAATAACCCTTAAGATTGTCTAGAAAAAAAATTAAGACCAAAAAACGATATGTTGATAGTCCAGAACTCATATGAAACTAATTCTTCCTCTTCCCCCCTTCTATGAAACTTCCTAATTAGGTTAAAATAGACTTATAACATTTGTGGGGGTTTGTACAAGTGGCATGACAAGAGGAAAATTGCAATTTTTTTTTGGGGGGTGGTCACAAAGCTTGACTTTCTTTGTACAACCTTCCACACGTTAAGACCAAATTGCCGTGAGTCATAAGACAGGAAGGAGAAATTTTGATTCGAAAAATTAAGTTGTTTTTAAGTTGATGCATGTAACACAAATGTAGGAAACCAAAATTTCATGTATTTTGGTGGAAATTTCCCTAGCAAAGAGACCCATTCAGCCAAATTTGAGTTTAACTTTTTAAGCCTTTTGGTCAAGTACAAGTGGAGTAGTGCTTCTTTCCTTGTCATTATCATCATTTACTGGACCATTTATTACTTTGAAATATTTTAAATTTGATATTCCATGTTCACGAAATAAATTTGGACACTAACACTATGTTTGGTAAAAGAAAAGAAAAAAAAAGGGGGAAAGAGAGTACTGGAAAAGTAATATTTGTTTTTTTTCTTCTTTTGTTAGGTAAGAGAAAAATATAAAAAAGAAAAGGAAAATATATGAATTTGTATCTTTTCTTTTTCTTCAAATTTAATCATTTCAAATTGAGAGAAAAACATTCCTTCCACTTCAATTAAATAAGTTATTTACAAATTCTTTATTTTTCATCTTTAACACTAAACACAAGATAAAAAAAAAAAAAAAAACTTTTCTTCCTTTTCTTTTTCAATTTTTTCTTTCTTCATCTTCTCCCTTCTCAATATTTCTTTCCTTCCAACCAAATATAATGTAAGTGTTACCATGGCAAGAAGTTGATAGACATATTTTGGTTTTTATTGACAATATGTGTCTTTCCATATTAATAGTCTTTTAGTGATTTTTAGTGGCAACACATGATGCATGTTTTCTTTTTGTGAAAGGAACATATTACAATT